TAGGAGCTTAAAAAAAGCTATCTCATAAAATTTGTAAGACAATCGTGGGGGTGTTTATTTATAGGCCACTATACAACTGCAATTTAATAAAAGTCACAGATAGTTACTCTTACAAAAAACTCTAGAGCGAATGATGCGCTCACGTTTTGCACTGATAAAAACAGGAGCGAAAAATAGTCGACTTTCAATATTTTGGCACAGCAAAGCCTATTATACTTGGTTATCTAAACATTCTGAATAAGACAACAAAGACAATAATCCCTAAGTGATTAATACATGCTGATTATTTATTATTAAACATAATTTTTAATAGCATAATGTTTATACCAATTAATTAAATGAGTAATTTTTCAATGACATTAATTTCGTTTCTTTTGCAATTATAATTTTTTCGATTATTTTTGAGTGTAAATTATGAGCTACAATTTTGCCATTTCTATGTGCATTTATTGGTAATTGTGTTGAAAAGAATATATATATACGGTGAAGGTGATTTATAACAGAAATTATATGTGGCTTCCTACGTATAAAAACATTTTTTAAATTATATGCGAAATTATAATGTATATATACATGTGTTTACATAGTGTATATATATATCGGTTTTTAATTTTTATGTATGCATATTAATTAATATACATATATTTGTCTATATATATATGCATGTACATATAATTTATATGTAGATATGCCAATTTTATGTGAGAGTGAAATATAAAATATTTCCTATATCAGAAACCCTATTTTAATATAAACTCATTTGTTAGTTTGAATACTACTAGTATTCACTACTTGCATCCTAAATATATAAAGGATTATAATAAATTATATATAAATATATAAAGATTTTAAGGAACAACATAAAACTAAATAATCTTTTTTTATAATATTTATATTAAGCATAGAAATGGACCATTTTTTTAAAAACGGGAGGCCTATTGACCTCATCAACTCCAATTTATCTGAAATATTTTGAATGAACACCTCTAATAAAAAAAAAAGAGTACACACATCTCGGGAAAAAATTTTAAATTTTTTTCTTGATAAACATGGACCTATGGGACTTATCTTTAAAAGATTATATCTATGACCCTATAAATGATGTGGTCTTTTGTATTTTGAAGATAATTGACTGAGTATCTCTTAAATAATTTAAACAGTTGATACTGTTTACATATATATAAATGAATTTATATGACATGAAAAAATTAAAACTCTTTTTACAGTCTGAATCTGTTTGTTTATATAATGTTTTCTAGTGTTGAAGGAAATCAGATAAAAAATCCGGTATTTTTATGATATAAAAATAAAACTAAATATTATTCAGTTATTATAATATTATTTTAGAATTTTATACTGAATGTTAAGTTAAATACAGTTAAAACTGCATTTTGTATATAATTTGGGATTTATTAAGAATATTGCTATCGCTGTTGCGTTTTATATTATTTAGTTTTATAGCTCTACATTTACTATATAGTACACTAAAAAACTTTTAAAATGTTTTTTAAAAAGCAAAGACTGTATTATTTGAATTTCATTCACATATTTTATGAAATAAAAATTTATTATAGTATTTTTTAAATAAGTGTGATATGATAAAAAAGTAGTAAAATAATGGACAGTATCTATTTTATAGATAACATATCTGTTAGTGGAAAAAATAGATATACCTTCTGCTCAAAAAGTACCTGTATTTTGTTAACTGCTCCCTAAGTAATAGATCAAAAATTTTTTTTTTGTTTTTTTGTTTGTTGGCCTTTCTTGACATATGGTACAAACTTGAGCGCCATCTGTTTACAGCAGCTGTTAATGTGAGACTACCTCAAGTGCATATAGCGATTTTTACTATGAAAAATTCAGTTGAACAACGAGTTTGTTTGAAATTTTGTGTTTTGAATGAAATTTCATGTGTTGAAGCATTGAAAAGGGAGCAGAAAGCTTACGGGGTATAAATCATTCAAAGAGGGTCGTGAAGTGATCGAAGATTTGCTTCGTTCTGAACGTCCATTAACATCAAGTACCGAAGAAAACGTGGCAAATATCAAGAAAATTGTGCTGGATGATCGTCGTATGACTGAAAGGGAGAATGCTCGTGACTTAAACATCTCAAATGAATCCGTTCACCACATTCTACATGATATACTGGTCATGAGACGCGTTGAAGCCTGACTTGTACCGAAACACCTTGATTTTTTGCAAAAAGAATAACGAAAGAACGTGTGTGAAGAAATGATTTTTGAGCATGGAAACGACTCTACATTCATGAAACGCATCATAACAGGTGATGAGACATGGGTTTATTAATATGACGTAGAAACCAATCAACAATCAAGCGAATGGCGCTTCGAAAACGAGCCAAAACAAAAAAACCGCGCAATAGTCGCTCAAAAATTAAAGTTATGCTCACTTTTTTTGACTACCGCGGTGTTGTTCATTACGAATTTTTGCCAGAGGGTCATACCATCAATAAAGAATATTACCTCGGCGTTATGTGGCATTTACGTGAGTCCATCTTGTGGAAAGCCAATAATTGGATTCTTCACCACGATAATGCTCCATCGCACACGGCTCTGATTGTACGCGATTTTTTGACCAAACACGGCACCACTGTCATCGCTTAGGCACCATATTCGCCAGGTCTGGATCCGTGCGACTTTTTCCTGTTCCCGAAACTCAAGTTGCCCTTTCGTAGTAAGCGTTTTGAGTCGATTGAATCGGTAAAAGAGAATTCGCTGAAGGAACTAAAAGCCATACCTGCACGGGTCTACGAAAAGTGTATGGAAGATTGGGTTAAGCGTTGGCATATGTGTATCGTTTCAGAAGGAGTATGTTTTGAAGGATATAAAATAAATTTGAAATAAAATTTAAATTTGTGTGTTTTATTTACAAAATCCGAATACTTTTTGAGCGGAAGAGAATTATTCAGCTGTCAACATACCTGATAAAAATTTCATATATTAGGTATACCAAATTTATGTTTGTTATTATAAAAAAATCAAGTGTAAATATTAAAACTCTTTCAATATATACAATATACTTTTTTTTTAATCAAGAATATTTTTCTATAACTGTAATTCGTCTTTGAAATTCAACAAATAATAAAATAAAATAATAAAAAAATAATAAAAAGCTATAATAATATAACTTTTTATATTGAGTTTTAAATTTATAATTTAATAAAAAATTTTAATTTTAAAAGTTAATTATTTTCGCCTAGCTTTCGTCAAAAATTTCTTATGACGACAAAGCAAAGAATATTTATTTTTTAAAATTTAGAAGGATTCGAATACTAAAATATTAATAAAGAAGTTTTCGAAAAATAGTGAACTACAACAACAAAAATAATTTTTTATATTACTTTTAATTAATTGAATTTTGGTTGACCATACAGCTGTTCAAAGTATTCCAAAAATTCTTGTATTTAATTATTCGTAAATAATTTTTTGAGACTGCAAGTACCAGGAATCAAACTCATGCCCTAACAAATCTGAAGCTCTGAGTCAGCGCTGCTTAACCAACTGACCCAAAGACGTACTTGACTTTTATGTTCGCACATTTTTCTGGAGTTTTATTACTTTGTTGTGAAAGTTTTATTAACAAATTCACTTACTGTGTTTATATTTAAACAAAATCATAAACCAGCTGTAGAATAATTAAATTAATTAATTATATATTTTATTTTTGATTGTTACATTTCAATACTATTATGTTTGTAGAGGCATTATTTGTTGGATGATTTATAATTTTATTCCTAAATATAAAATGTTAATAAAATAAAGTTTTATGTAAAACAACATTCTGTTACTCTTTCTGTTCTTAAAATCTTTTAAATTTTGTCACTATGTTTGTATGAATATTATCTTATAAATCTATTTAGTAATGCAGAATTAGAGAAGTACTAGTGTGTTTCATATTATTATATAGAGAACTATTGCATCGAAAGATAACCTAAAAGTGTAGGAACAATATGTGTAAAAAAAATAAAAATATTTAGTTTTGAAGAGATGGCATATAGCGCTTTAAAAAACATATAAAAAATATTTAAAAATATTTTTTAATAAAAATTGACATTCGATTTTTCATTAAATAATAATAATTATTTTTTTTTTATTGTAGAGGTCTGTACTAGTATCAGATGTGTACTAACTTATGTACCTAAATAACTAAGGAATTCTTATATGTGAGTATTGAGTATTTGCTGCTTAATTATTAAAGTAAATAAGAACATATTAAGTTTTGTTTTGGCAAAATTAAATCTTAAACATTTTATTTAAATAATTGAATTAATTGAAATCTAAAGAACTAATGGAGCATGCATTGGAGTACAATAGAGTTGGACTTAAGGAAAGGTTACAATATTAAAATAAATTAATTTTATTTAAAAACAGTTTACATTTGTTTTTTAAATATTTATATTATTAGTTAATTTATATATTAGTATATATTTATCTAAGACAAGTATTAATGATTATATATTGAAAAAAAAACCAAGCTAAGCAAGAACTACACACAGAACATCATCAACAACAACAAAAACAACAACACAAACTGAACAATTACACAATAAAAACGTAATTCGTAAAAGTATTCGTATTATGTGTGTATGTGTATTACACAATGATTTTGTTTATATAAATATTATTATTAATATTAAATATTAATATTAAATTTATTTTGTTTTTATTTTTATGTTAGTGTTTGTATTAGTTTCGTGTGTGTGTTTGGTGTGTATGTACTTCAATTGCTTTGATTTGTATTTTAAGTTATGTATCTTATAAGTATTATTTTGGCTAACAACAACAACAACAATAATAACACGAAAAATAATTAATTATTGTGGAAAATAATAAATTTTTAACACAAAAAATATTAATTTATTTAATTTATAGAATTAGTTTTTACACATAAATTCATGCTATTAAATATGTAATAAATTTTTATTATTTGATTTTTTATTATATTTTATTATTAAAATACTCGTTAATAGAAGTATTATTTTAAGTGTATATAGTGTCTGTGTCGTAGAATAAATCTTCTAAAAAGCTTACCGGCAAATCACGAGCGGCTGATTCTCCTTTACGCTGCAATTTGAAATGACGGAAATTAGTTGAGAAATTTAATTATTTATTATAAACAATAAAAATAATAAAATATGGTTTTAAGTTCTAAGCAGCAAGGTTATTAAAAGAATAAACTATAAATTATAATCATATTTAATATAACCTACTGCATACAATTTTTGTTTATTTTCTCATATATGTTATGTGAGGCACTTCAGACATGAAAATTCGTAATTTAATTTCTTAAAAATTTTTCCATATTAATCAACAATTTCTGTTTTAAAATATTCAAATAAAATAATAAATGTGAACAAACTGTTACTGAGTTCCATCTTTGCTGAAATTTTTAATAAAAGATGGGAAAACTCAACGATATGTAGGCATCTATATGCAATCTGGCCACGTTCCCATAAAAAAAACCCAAAAATCTCAATGTGATACTCCATAGAAATATCGGTCTTTTGGTAAGTTTACTTACAGGTCACTGTAAACAAGAAAACTCTACTAGAAAATTGTGTCTTCCTTTCAATCAAACCTCTCGCAGTTGTGGGGAAGACGATAGGAGTGCCTTTCATCTACTATGTTTTTGCACAGCTCATACACTGCGGCGACTCAACACTTTAGGAAACCCTTTTCTTGAGGATCTTGATCAATTACAAGACCTGACACTAAATAGCATTTTAGGCTTCGCCAAAGGTTCTAGGCGATTTTTAACCCTGAGTTTTTCCTACGTATACGGTAACACAATGGGGCAATAGGCCTAAGTGGATCCACCAGTGATCGCCGGTATAGCCTACCCTAACCTTACTTAATGAAGAACTGTTGTGAATATAAATGTTCATAATATCTTTTACTACTACAACTTATTGATTCTCAAATAGTCATATATAAACTCCATTAAATGATATACAACGCTTGATCGAATTCTCTCTCCATTTTTTGTAAACTGCTTAAGGTGTGGCTTTTAATCCTTTACTAAATTTTTTTGTAAATTGTAAAAAGTTTGACATTGTCATGTTGTAAATTATTTTGCATGGTCAATTTTTTTTATTATAAAAGAAACTGCCTTTTATCTTTTACTCAGACAATTTTTGTACTACACAATATAAAAAAACTTTGCTATTCCTGATAACAAAAATTAAATTAAACTAGAGTCATAGAAAAATAATAATATTTTTATATACCCTGTGTCTATCCACACTATATGGGTCTCGATCTCTACGATAAACAAGCTCATCATATCTAGAACGATCCTCAGGATATATTAGTTCACGTATTTCCGTCACTAACGTATGCTGAAATAGAAATTAATTAAAATAATTAATTAAATTAATTATTAAATTTATTGTGAATCTTTACTTTTTCGTATGTGTCCAACATCTCAAGTAAGACGGCTACAAAGGCATCTATGGTCATTGCTCTCGCACAATATTCAGCAATATAATACGAAAGACTTGCAAATTGATGACGTGATAGGAGGGAAAGTGCTTTCTCCTCTACCATTGCGCTTATTGGACCTTTCCGACGCGCTCTAAAATGTAAATAGAAAAAAATTGAAAATTAATTAAATTATATTAAAAGTAGTAATAAAAGTAAAATATTTTTATTATATTTTGTAATAATTATACATAAATATATACATTTTTTTAATATATATATATAGTTCCATATATATAATTTATTTATGGTATAATAATATGTAATTTTTTTTTTAAATTACAACTATGCACCTATACAATTTGTATATGAAATATACATAACTATTTTTGAACTGAATATGTTAATATTATCGGATTAATACTAAGATTTTACTTTTCTAATTAAAATCAATTAAAAATAACATTCCATTTCGACTACATTTTCTACTCTCTTACTAACACTCATTTTTCACATCAAGTATTCACTCACTACTCCCATGATCCGAGCAGAAGCGTAACTCACTTTTAAATTTAAGTGTTCATACTCGAAAATCACTCCTTTGTTTACTATTCACATTTCATTCACTATGCTATAAGCATACTATAATTTAATATAAACAATAACACGAAAGTAAAAGAAAATTATGAAAAAATAAAAATAATTCTCTTAGAAAATATATTTGCTTTAAATTTTTTTAGGTTATTACAGTATATAGACCATTCATATTAATTAGATTTAGATATCAACAACTTGCAATTTGGGTATTCGTTCACGAATGCTTCAATTTGTTTTATTAAAATTTCTAATTATATATTATATATTAATATATATTAACTATATATTAATTAATTAAATTTATTTCAATTATAATATCTACTTCAATTATAATGAAGATATTTTGAATTTTGAAATTATTACCTTGTCCCCGTTGGACTATACGCATCCCAAGGTTCCATTTCAATCGATGTGCAGGAATGTGGCACTTTACCAACATCACGTATCACAAGAGACATACGTTTGTGATATTTTAACTGACTAACAGCCTCATCATGGGTCACATCAAGAAATGATTGACCATTCACTTCTAGTATTTCATCGCCTACCATTAAACCAGCGCGATCAGCTACACTATCTTTATCAACGCCAGTAACAAAAATACCAAGTCCATATTCAACACCACCACGTATCATTAGACCTAATGATTGGCCCGGTTCGATGAGTAATTCAACTCTTCGAATTCTACAAAATTACAAAAGTATATGTGTTTAATCATGGAGTATATAATAAAATAAAAGTAAAACGATTATAACTTACCTATCTCTACGTTCACTACGTCGGCCGCCATATTCCATAGGCGGTGATGCGGGACGCCCATGTCGGTCCATCCAGGAACATGTTTGACGAAATGGTAAACCACCAGATGCACCTGGTGGTAATGCACCTGTTTGCGCAGCATTCTGTGGCAGCAGGGGAGCCATCGAAGCATACATTGGATCCCGTGAAGGTGGCCCAAAACCATGCAAGGGTGCCGTTGAATTAAGTGTCGGGGGTGAACGCACCGTCATACTGATTTGACGTGATGATTTCAATATCTGCACACATCTCTGCGTTAAGAAAAAATGTGGCAATAGAAGGAGTCAAATAATAGAAAGAGAAAGAGGAGTACAGAAATAAAAAGCATAGGTGGAAGAAATCAAAACAAACAACTTAAGCAATATAAAACTATGCAATTAATAAGTCAGTGTAAAAATATTAATTTAAAAATAAATGAAATTAATTTTAACTAAAAAATATTTATATAAAAATAGTGGCGTAAAATCCTACGTAACTTGAACTATATTTTAATTTGTATTTCTTGAGAAGAATTTTAGGTGCTTTGTGCTGGAATGGTGCTTTTGTGTTTGAAGTGTTGTGTTGGATAAATTGTGCAAATATATTGTGCAATTTTAATGTGAAAATTGTTTTTGTACGGACTAAAATGTAACATTGTTGGGAACTCTTTAGTTTACGTTTAGGAACACTTTTGGCATTCAAGTTATTAATTACTTTTTAAACTGATAATAATATTATGTATTCTAAGAACAAAAAATATACATCACATCAGTAAATAAGATTTTTTTAATTTTTTTTATTTTATTAAAGATATTAAATTGTTCTTATTATGGCAAGACACAAAATCATTGAACAATTGGATTCAGACAAGTATTAAACCTCAATAGTAGAAGCAATGGAAAATTTTTTATTATATATAAGTTTATATATATAAATAATTTTCAATATATTTCAATCACTGTTTTCGACTACAACCGAATAAATTAAAATTAATTTAATTAAATTAATAACATAATTGTTAAATAAAATATAAAGGTGAGAGGAAAACAGAATTCTTATCTATTGCCAATTTTTTCTCAAGTAGTATTTAAGTGTTATTAAGTATATTATTGTTATACATAAAATTCTTAAATCCTTTATACAACTTATGATAAAAATATATAAACATTTTTAATAAACTAACTGTAAGAGTAAAATGATTATTTCTACCTTTAACTGTTATAGATCGATTGGTAATTGAATTTTTTCAAAAGACTGCATTCTCTATTAGTCAACCCATCTTTATTAAATAATCTATATAAAACTAACAAAAACTAACTCTTCAAAGTGCCTTGGTACATCCGCACAAACGACAAAAAATACATAAGGGTCAGTGTCCTAAAGTTATATGCGAAAATTGACAGGCTATTCTACTTACCACTATCTAATCTTAGAGTAATCACTCTCCGCACGGGGAGGTACGCAGATCTTAGATCAATCACTGAATAATCATGAAGCTTATAGGCAATACATAAATTAGTCAATGAGATGGGTGGGACCCTGTAGTACCCCCAGCTATCAAAGTGTAAAAGTGCCCAGTTGCGCTGATTCGAAAAAAGAATCAGCATACATATTATTATTTAAATAATATAATATCCAGTCTTTTATATATTATTTTCAACGAGAATGGACCTAGCATGCGAAACAATCATATTTCATTTGATGACAAAAACTGATGAGAAGCTTAATCTTATCTTAATCTTATTCTTAGTAAATCGAATTGATTTCAAAATCTGATTTTCCATGAAAATCAATTCTCTTATTATAAGTCATGAATGTTAATAGTATAAACAATTAACAACAGAGATTAAGCTACTGTTTAATCTATTCAAATCAATAATGGCAGTAATAATTAAAATTAATTGACTGTTAAATATAAGTGTAATAATAAGGTTAATTTTTTTGTCGAGTTTGATGTGTCTTATGACGACAAGAAACTAAAAGGGTTCGAATAGAATGAAAAAGCAACAACAAAAATTTGATTAAGTTATTGAAATTTGGCTGACCATAAAATGTTGCTTTAAGTATTGCCAAGTAATCATCATCAGTGATCTTCGGAAGTCTTTGAATTTTTATTTAATTGTTTATAACTCGTTTACAATTTGTTGGGCTGTAAGTGCCAGTCTTAGAACTCGTACTTATCAAATTAGAAACGTATTTATCCACTAGTGGCCAAGGCTGCGCAAACTTTCAATGCTCAAGCTCCAAGTTTTTTGTCACTTAATTTGTAAGTGACACTAATTGGTTGCCATGATTTTTTTTTTTAATTAGAATGAGCTCATAAACTAGAGCTTTTTTTGAAAACATAAGTTCTTCGAATTAAAAGTTATTTTTGTAGTCGCCTATTTTATATTTCAAAGCTGTTCTTTTGTAGAGACATCTGTTATTCATATTTTTACTTACTATAAAATATATATGTAAAGCGTCTTTCTTGGGTACAATTTTACTAAGAAGCTATACAAATGTTACTCTACAAGTTCGCTAATCTCGATTTAGTAAAGCTTAACAAAACTATTGTTCGTATTTTCCATAATTCTAATGTTTAAGGTTGATCTTTTTGTGATATACTTCTAGAAATAAGAATTTCTAACATATTAAAATCCTTTTATATTATTTTTTTTAAAGGAAAACATTCTAACCATGTCTATAAATTCTTTAACTTTAAAGGTGCTACATATTATACGTCCCACAAAATTGTGATGTTATTTATTAAACAATATATATAATAATTACTAATGTGTTTGCTTGTGAAGTTTGGGTTTGTACAAATGTGCAAGGTTCATATGTGAAAAGTTGTGAGTGTTATTAATATTTGAATATAAATTTTATTTTTTACAATTCATTCAATGATAATAGCAATACAACATATCTCACCTTCAGTGCTTCTTCGTGATTTATTGAAGTAAAAGGCGTACCATTAACTTCTAGGATTGTATCACCAGGCCGCAGACCAGCCCTTTCCGCTACTGAATTTTCTTCGATGCGTGATATATAAACACCTAATCCTGCAATATATTATAATGTAAAATTATAAATAATAAAATTTTAATATTTAAATTAAATAATTTATAATAATATTAAATATGTAATACGTCCAAATCAATTCACTGGTCAAAACGTGACTTTGCCATTCTTGTAAAAAAAGTGATAATATCAGTAGTAAATATTTGCAAAACTATAAGAATTATATTATTTAGAAGAAGTGAAAAAGCTGGAATACCATTGACACAAATATATAGATCCCAAGAGACGTTAACAATAAAACTATAAGAATTATATTATTTAGCAGAAGTAAAAAAGCTGGAATAGCATTGACACAAATAGACCCCAAGAGAAATATGTCATCAACAATAACAGCAAATTTGTTAGGATTGTGGTTTGATGTATTACTATAATATACAGGTATATATATATAGTACTATATATCTATTATTTACTAGCGGACCCGACAGACTTCGTTCTGTCAAAAAGATTTGGAATGTGGCAGTTTTGTGTTTCTACCTATTTTATAGTTGGCGCAAAAAAATCTCCTGAACAGAACAGTCACACTGGTGTGTGGGGTTCAGCTCAGGTGACCAAAGTATCTTCTCTTCCAAGAACTTTGGCCACCCTTCTAGGATCCACTAAAAAACCCCGACTGGGATGTCTGCCAGAGAGTTTTGACTTAGGGGCGAACTTAGGGTTCAAACCTGATTGAAAAATAATTTAAAGGTGGAAACCTAAAGGTGACAAATATATAAAAAGTGGGTGGGTGGCTCGGCATATGTCAAAAATTGGAACATCATTGAACTTAGAGAACTCAAACTACTCTTTGTCAAAAATTAATTTAATAATAAATAAAAAATACAAATATTTCCTCCATTTATCACAGTCTCCATATTTAAATTTTATTAAATTTTACAATGAAATAAAATTTTAATTTTGATTTATAAGTGTTTAATTTTAATTAAACTGATTTTAATTATAATCGACTAACAAAAATATCATATCGTATTAAAAAATTTGTCAATAAAATCTAACTTTCATCAACCGCAAAACAGTTCCAGTACGTCGCTACAGTGTCAGCCCTTAATTCTTTTAACTTATAGTCTTTCGAAACTATATACAGTAGATAGTTTTCAAATGAATTCGTTTTACACAAGATATATTAGAAAAAGATAAAAAACTTAACGAATGAATATTGTAACTACTTAAATATTTTCAAATATTTTTTATATAAAATATTTTACATTTTCTATTTAGTTAGAAAATTTTAGTTTTCAAAAGGTATCAAGAATTGAAACACCATTGGAGTAAACTTTTGAAACTCAATTGAGACTTCATTTAAAACATATACAATGTTCAGACACACCTTAATTTCGCAGTAATCTTAATTTCATCTTCATTTCAGCGAAATTAAGTTATTTTTTCCATACAAAATTCAGTTTTGAGGTGAGAACCACATAAAGGAAAATTGTCTTAATTTCGTTGAAACAAGGGCTGAAATTAAGAGATATTTCAAATGCAACTATGCGTTAGATTAATTTTAAGCAAAAGATAAAGTTGAGATAACGGAAAATCAACATTTTTTTTAAATAAATGTGAATGATAGTTGATTTTAATAAAACCGGGAAATATTTTGAAAGTAGTGCAAATTTTCAAATTTAAAACAGAGTGATAAATAATAATTCACCTGAAATCCACTAAAGTTAATAAAGCTACTGTATGCCATCCTTTATAGTTATAATAGTCACTTTTAAAATTTTCCAGATACAAATGATGTTTGAAGCATGTGATTGACATTTAATATTCGATTTGTAACCAAAAAACATATGATTTCCTTAATTTGGGGCAGTATGAACACTTTCAAAATTAACTTAATTTCATTTTTACAAAATTAAGGAAATTTGGCTGTCTGAACATAGTACCTATTATACTAAAAACTAGCAAATATTTAATTTTTCCATTAACTAATACTATTAGTTGGCGAATTTAAATGTAGTAGTTAATAAAAAAATCATTCCTTCCACAAAGAGTAATACTGTAGTTTTGATGGTTTTGGATCAGAGATTTTTTCTTTAAAAATGAATATGATATTTATATTGTTATGGGTGCCTATAATTTAATGAATATTGTGAAACCAGAGAAGATATATTTATAAATGCAAGCCATGAACGAAAAACTCGATTAACAACTTTGAAATCTTAATCATTACTGATTTTAAACTCACATCCTTAATACAATAAACATATTTATTAAATTAAATTAAATTAGTTAATTTTCTAATACAATAAAATTCAATTATTAGACTTAATGCATTAGAAATTCATCCTTTATTAAAAATTAAAACTAAAGTCACTACACCGTCTATTACCTGTGACTGTGAAATTTTATAAATTTACGATTAATAGTTTTACAGAAATTTGAAATTAAAATTTCTTCAAAAACATATTAAATAACAAGTTAATCTCATAATAATCAATGTAATTTAAATGAAAAGGCTCCTTCAACAACGTTGCCGTAAGTCTTTAAACTAATAATGACAGTAATATGAACGGCAAAGGATTGAAATTTAATTGAAAAAGTAACCTTTTGACATATTCACACCAATTAGAAGCAAACTGGTTACCCATAGTGCCGTGTAAAGAACTTATGCATTGCTGCACCGGCTCATATGCTCTAAATATACCGAATGAAGCATATGCTGTCAGCAGAAGTGGCTCTTCCTCAGCCAAATCTCACCCCACAAAAGATTTTTATTGATTTTAAAGTACATACGTAGTCAGTTAAGAACTATAAATAAAAGTTGCTGCTACAATAAATTGTTCCATTAATACGCGGTAAAGGACGAGTACTTAAGGAATATGCCGCGGACGTGCCATGTGGTTGGGGTGAACATCAGGTGTAAAAATAAAAAGCTTTAATAGAAATATGTCAGTTCATTGCATGTGCGGCAATTGCTTATAAAATATTTTATTACAAGTATATGCTTTTATCGAGGTCCTTCAGTTCTATTGAAATTTTATGCAAAAATATTGTACGTACACAATGACATATAGTATGTATTAAATCGTTATCAAGTAGCTAATTGTCTTATATACGTATTTGAGTATCGTATTAAATTCAAGAAAATTTTCAAAACGTTGCTAATATTTTTGTTTACCTGAGTCTTTGCCTCCTTTAACACAAATACCAAAGCCATGATCTATTTGCTGATCACGTGACATTGTTACAGTTCGCGTCGTTAATTCATGAATGTTTGGTACACTTCGGTCTCGATCGCGTTCACGGTATATCTGCGTACATATTTATAATTATTTAAACTTATTTAACAAATCGTGCATTTTGCTTACCTGATGTGTTGTTGACGGCGGACTGCTAGCTGGACTGCGACGCCCCGTGCGATCCCCACGTATACCATTACTATAGTGATAACTACTTGTAGGAACTGAAGATGATTGTGTTGCACCAAACATGCGCAACACTTGTTCGGGTGATATCGGCCGTTTTTTGTTGCCATTCATTGTATGCCGCCCACTCACACCGGTTGCAGCTGTAGAATTTGGTAGTGTACCGCTACCACCACCAGCTGCCATTAGACTTGATGGTGACGATAGATATGCAGAGCCGCGTCCTGGCAATGATCCTCCCTTTGTTGGTACACCCGCCGAATTATAATAGTAATGCGGCGAGTGCGGTCGTTCAACTATTGTATATGAAGTTCCCGGTGGTGAATAGTACAAACCGGAACGACCACCACGCAATGAACTTGTGCTATTACGTGGTCCCACACCGTATGTACCACTCAAATTGAAACCAGGTGGTGCTGGACCTATCATACCATATGAGATGCCAATATCTTCGGCTTCGTAACTGCTAGTACTACGTAAATGATGTGAAGCCAAACCTGTTGAACTTCCAGTAGGCACACTTGAAGATGATTGGGGTTGTAGAACGCTAGGATGAAGGGAAGAACTGTGCGCAGTTGGTGCATGATAATAGCCACGTGAACTCCATCGTGTAGGTCCAAGTTCGCATAATTCAGCATAATCATTGCCAGCTGCGCTCATTGTCAGGGGGTCGCCGTCGTATGGTATGCCAACTCCCCCAAGGCGCATAACACGTTTAGAACTGAAATTAAAAATTATATTTTAAAAAACCAAGTAAGGCATATTTAAATTGTTAAATGAAAGTACTATTTATATGCATATATATATATATATATCAAATAACATTCAGTTATGAATTATTTCAGAATGTAATATTGTTTGCTTATATTGAAGTCAACAAAGTATTTAATGTATTTACTGAGGATGTAACAGTTGTTCAACAAGTTTATAGAGCACCATTTATTTATTAAAAATAGAACTTAAATGTCAACGCCAGTTCAGTAATTCATTGTTTATAAGAACAAAGCTTCAATTTCATTTGATCTATTTATTTACTTTTTGTTTACAGGACATATAAACTTGTCAATTTGGTGATATATTCAAAGATTTTGTAAAATATATTTAAAATTAATTTGTCATATTTTAAATTTGTCTCATTCGACAAAAAAATGTTGGCATACAAAAATTAGAATTATAGGATATATGAACAACAATATTGTTCAGCTTTTCCTGATCGCTATTAGAGAACTTGAGGAGTAACATTTTCATAGCTTCTTTGTAAAATTGCACCCAAGGAAGACGCTTTACATATATAGTAGAAAGTAACAATATGTATAACAGATTTCTCCATAAAAGAACAGAAATAAAAATAGACGACTACAAAAATAACTTTCAATTCGTTGAACTTGTGTTTCCAAAAAAGCTATAGTTTATAAGATCGTTCTAAAAAGCACGGTTAGTGTCACAAATAAACTGACAAAAAACTCGGAGCTTAAGCATTGAAAATTTGTGTCGCTGAAATACATGATTAGTCATCATCTCTAAATTGACAAGCACGAGTTCTAAGCCTGGCACTTGCAGTCCAAGAAATTATATACAGACTATAAACTAATTAAATAAAAATTTGAATATTTCCTAAGATCATTGATAATGAATACTTGACAATACTCGAAACAGTGTTGTATGGTCAGATAACTTTCAATAAATTAATCAAATTTTTGTTGTTGCTTCTTCGAACTCTTCTAAATTTGTTTCTTTAAAAAACAGTGGTTTGTGTATGGGCCATAAGTCGATTGTTTAAAAGACAGTACAAACTTTGAGGGTGTTCCAAATGAAAAACATTAAAACACTGTTTTAAAAAAAAAAGAAATTGTAAGATTATTGATTGACCGATATATTTTAAAATAAGTTTTTGGTTTTTCTTAAGCTCTGTGCACAATGGGTCTAAGAACACATTGGACCCATTGTCAGTAAATTTATGTCAGTACATTATTGACCGATTCAGAAAAGACAAAAAGAATTGTATGCATTGTTTTATGAATTTGTAGTAAAATTCGTGCTTCGGTTCAGCTTCGAGAATCAGTAAGAAAGGTATAAGCATCTATCTATACAGACGATACAGAAGAATTTATTTTGGTAAGTTAACTCAAAATTAGTAAAGCAATGAATTCAAATCAATATTGTAACTTTTTTAAAACATTTTAATGCAAATTTGTTATAAAAAAAAGGACCTGAACAGAATACTTGCAGTATCAGTAAATAAAAAGACGAATATATAGTTCAGACTTGTCTCACGCCTCAAAATATTCTACCGTAAAAAACAATTTTCATCCAACCCAAAGATATTAGCTACCGCTAAGAGTAGCTTGCAGATAAATGATAGAATCGGTACAATACGTGTATTAAAGCTGATGGAGATTATAATGTAAAATGAAGTTATTTACAACTAAATTTGTTTTTTTTTTAATTTCCGTTCTGTAAATTCGTTGAACAACTACTACACCTGCTTGCAAGATGGTTTATTTCTTAGCATATATTATATGTATTATATATATTATATGTATTTTATGTAAATATACATCATTGCAGCATAGCTGTAACACAGTATTTGCTCCATTTTAAGCAGGAATCTTTTTTTTATATTTCAAATAAAAACTATCTTATACAAATATCCGGACTTAACTAAGTATGAACTCTAAAGCTGATATTTACATGTTATATTAACTTCTTAAATACATCCTACATGTACAGTGTATATATGTGATACGAGTATTCACGTATGTATTTACTCTATATGCATAGAAAATAAATATTACCCAAAATCATACATCTTTTGGCACATCAAAATAATTCATTTTCTACATATCAAAATAATAATAAAAAAAATAAAAAATAAAATATGTCATTCCCTTTCAAAGGATAAAAATCTCAAACTCAAAGTTAAATAAAATTGTGCAATTTGGCACTCGAGCTTCAAGTCAAAGTTTAATAAAATGCAACTGGTTGTCATTCCATGTCGAGTCCTTTGCCAAATGCTGTAATATTTAACAATTTTAATGGCCGTACAGAATGTGTTATTGCGGAAATAAATAAATTTAATTATTCCCTGCTTATTATGAACTCAGATTTATATGGTTTAATTAACAGTGCATTGAATATGTTGGGAATAATTTCTAATTTATTGCATCATTACGAGAACATGTACTTGAGAGGACTTTCCGAACTTGTTTCAAAGAAAATGTACAAAATGTACACAATAAATGCACCAGTCGCGTAAATCTCGTAAAAAGAACATTATTGGCCCAGTTTTTATGTAGTTTTTTTTCTTGTAGTTTTACATAAAGTAGTGTAGTGTAGTGTAGCGCAAATGCCCACTGGCTTCGAAGGATAACTATATTCTATAAACAACTTTGCCAAAGTTTGAACTAAAGTAAAAGAAATCCAATAAAATATTGCATATAAAACTTAATATTTTATGAGCGCTCTAACAGATATCCTTGGAGAATAGTTTTGATTAACATGCGAAAAAATGGCGATACTGAAAGTTTGCAAAGATTTTACACAATGACAAATTCCTTATTATTGGCATTTCGTTATTTTTATTTCATTGTAAAGAACATTTCTTACACAACAGCATCATTTACGATATAAATTTAACAAGCCTTTCGAATGCATTTGTACTTTGGGTCATGGAAACTTAACAGATTTCACTGCAGTAAAGATATAATACAGCATTTGATCTCTTTAAGTAGGAGTCTGTTTTTTATTTCTTAATTAAAAATTATTTTATAGTACAAAAACATTCCTTTGAAAACACAATTAAAACTTAGTTTTATATCTGCTTTACAAGATATTCTGCACGAAATATCTTCAACAACAATAAACATAAACTGGAACATATAAACAAAAGTTTACAAATTTTTTAATTGGTTTTAAATTCAATTCTCTAGGGTTGTATGAAATTGAACAATAAAAATTACTAAATACAAAAATTTCAGGCCGAGATATATGCTATCGAAAAAGCAGCCAACCTTATACAACAAAGTACAATTCGTCCTTCGAATGTCACGATTTTTGTACATAGTCAGGCCGAACTGAAAGCTGGGAATCTAAAACGGTTATACCAAGATTGCATTGAAAAGTCGCGCTTCAAGATTGTATTGAGCATCAAGCAACACAAGGTCTCGCTTTGCTCTGAACTGCATACAAGAGGGGCCGACCACTTAATACAAACACCGATATGTGAACTGCAAAGGATAATAGAGGAAATCACTAATATGGCGACTTACAATTTATATGCTAACCGCGAAGACTGTATTAGAACCTTATGGCCTAGTTTGGTCAAAATAAAAAAGAAAAGCATTTTAGAATTCAGCAACCCTGCAGGTGGGGAATTCCAACAAGTGGATTATACAGGAGTTGCCAAGATAAAGAGAAGGTAGAATCTATCAACCATTTCCTGTGGCTCTGTCCAGGACTGCAGACAAGGCGACCTCAGTGTCTTGGGGATCGCTTTTTCACTGGTTTGAAAGAACTAACAAAAGCATACTTATAGGATCTCCTCAACTTCATTTGGAAAACCAAATGATTTAACAAGGATAACAAAGGTTTACAACTCGCCTCTCCCGACAAAAATTTTTGAGGGCTTTGTGATGAGAGCAATATATATACTTCCAAGAAGAAGGAAAATTTTAATGCATCTTTATTAGAAATCATCATCCTTTGAATTTATAGTTCAGTGACCAGTGACATCTGTTCCATAAATGCTTATTCAAAATCAATAATATATAAAAACACATCTTTTTTGAATTCTATACATCTTTCCACCAGAACTAGAATTTTCTGAAGGAAAGATCTTTTCTTATATCAGTCCTTTCCAGAAGCCAAATGGAGTGTCATTTTTTCATTCGAAAGAATAATTTAAATACATGACTGATCATTCTAAAATCTGCACATAATATTGGACTGTCTTTTTAGAATTGTAACGAGTGGAAATTGTAACCATTTTTTCACAATCTGACCGGTTGAATGAAATAATCAAGAAAAAACAATTAGAATTAACCAACAAAAAATGACAAAATAAAAATATGTGTTCAATGTTAATATGACAATGCCAGCCAATATATATTCATAATGACTCGAAATAAATTCACGAAACTAGATTAGGAAGTATTGTTGCACCCACCATATAGCCCGGACCTTGCACAGTCTAACTAATTTTGGTTTGATCTTTGCAAAATTCTCTTAATGGTAAAAAATTTCCCGACCGAAGAGCCTCTAAAAATCACATGGTTAAGTTTTTCACCAATAAACCACAGAAGTTCTATGGTATATCGATGGAATTATGAAGCTAACCGACAAATTACAAAAGATAATTAATAATAATGATGATTAATAATATATACTTCATTAAAATCAAGATTGCTGTTATATATGAGTAATATATACATTACATATTGTAAATAATATTATAATAGGTAGAAATACATAGTACTCGCGTGTAAGGGTAATATTAATGACCTTTTTAATAGTTCAAATGTAACTCTAGTTTGTGTTCTCAATTTAGTAGTTTTATAGAGATATCCTAAAAAAATTCTTGTTTTTATTATTAGCCTTTATATAAAAAACTTTCTTCTGATTTACTGCAAGCTATCTATAAAGTTGAATAACTGACACCCCAAATTAAAACACAAAATGGAAATTACAATTTTTTATATTATTTATTTATTTCTTATTTATTTC